CCCAAAGTACATGCCACGCTTGCATTAAATTATTTCATATTTTCATAGCAATGGTTTATCTAACCATATAACTAATTAACATGCAAGACTGCAAGAAAGATTTTCCCTTATTACCTCAAATCTTTGAAACTTGTAAATTTATCATAACAACAATTTTTCATAATACCACCATAATTTTTCCCAAAGTACATGCCACGCTTGCATTAAATTATTTCATATTTTTACAACAATAGTTTATCTAACCATATAACTAATTAACATGCAAGAATGCAAGAAAGATTTTTCTTTATTATCTTAAATCTTTGAGAGGTTAAAGGTTTATCTTTCAAACAAATCCTTTCAAAGCTATCCCAAGCTTGAATGGTGCCAAGTTATAATTACTTTACATTCATTCGCATCAACAATTTATCAACATCCTCCACAAGATAATTTTCAATTTCTAACTCAACACCTATAAACTTTCAAAACTCAATATCCTTATATACAAGGATACCCATAGGATTTATTAGCTTCATTTAACTTACATTAACTTCATTTAACTAAACAACCATTAATGACATTTTCAACTCCTATCCACCTCATTTATTAAGGGATTTTTGAATATTAATGTCTCCTAACTACCAAAAACAAGTAGGGTCATAAATTATATGTTTAAATAACCTAAACAACTTTCATTGACTTTATTTAAGTCAATGAGTTTAAATTCATAACCTCTATGAACCAAAAGTGATATTTTCTAGCAAACCCTGACTTCCATAATCAAGAAAAATGAAAGAGGAAGGAGGATAAACACTTAAGGAACTTACCTCTAGTGTTTAAAAGTTTCAAATACCTCTTAAAAGGTGACCTAATATGCCCCTAGCGGAGCTCTCAAGTTCCTTTCATTTTTCTCCTTTTTTTCCTTCTGTTTTCACACTCTAATGTAAATTTATTTTTGCAAAATTCTGTTTATGTGCCGCAGCCATGACACGTGCATCACTGCATGTGGTGCAAAGAAGCATATTTCACGTTCTAGTAACTCATGTGCCGTGGCATCTCGTGCATGAACCGTGACATGTGATACAGAGCCATTACTCATTGTTTTTCTCCCATTTCAATGTTTGGGTGGCCAACTTTACTCAAGACTCGATCCTAGAGCTGAAATCACAACTCAAAACATCCATGAGTTCTTTGTAACCACACACAACACTAATTGCCTAATTAATTTTATTTAACATAGCTAACTAGGGGTTAATTTTTCTAGGATGTTATATGGGTAGAACTTGCTGTTGTCGACAGAGAGGACATGGCTAAAGGCAAGGAGAGGGGTGAGAACAATCAGCTTGGAGGAGACAGACATGGTGATGCAAACCCCAAGTGCTTTGGGTGAGAGCTTACTGCCATTTATACCTATATTTGGGTGTAGAGATGGCCGATAGGTACACTGGAAGGGGAGGGTAAGAGAGAGAGGGAATGAAGGAGAGAGGGAGAAGAATTTTTTAATTATAAAAAATATAAAAATATTGGCAGGACCTACTATGAAATATTTTATAATAAAAATATAAAAAATTCAAATGTAGCCCTACTAAAAAAAATAGACGGTACAAATGAAAAGGTGATAGATTTAAAAATTTTAACAGTTGAGAAATAAAATAAACTCATAGTTAAGCCTAGAATTATTTGTGAACTTTTGTGTGTAGTTTGGAACAAAAATAACCCTTAATTAAAAGAAAAACACTTTTCTTAAACTGTACTCTCTCCAGTGAAAAATACCACTTTTTTCATTTACCAGCGTTGATCTGAAATGTAAGATAGATCCAATAACATCAAATTCTTCTTTTTAAAAAAATATTCTTGTTCATTGTATTGTTGAGGGAGACTGTATAAACAATAAATTTAATGTAATTAAGATAACTCGTCGTTAATTAAAAGGTATACTCTTAAAAAGTAATAATATCTTTTATTATTATAATAACACAATTTACTTTTAATTATTTTTTTAATTTTTATAAAGTATTCAAATCGTTTATTTTTTATTTGGAGGAGTACGACTGTGGGAGTAGCGTAGCATGCCCATAATACATGTACCTTCACGTGACGCAGCACGTAATAATTAAGTCACATCCTTATCTATAGTTAAAATTCTCCTCAAACAAATAGAGATCAACAGGATAAAACGAGTGCGCGGCGGTTGTGTCTCCAGGTCCTTTGCATGCATCTGTAGGTTAGTTTATTATTTTATGTCAGTCTTTGCCAACCGCCAATGGTTAACATTGTCGAAACAATGACCATCCCTCCGTTGCTTTTCACCACAGTTGCTCTGCACGAATGAATAAAACTAACTAGTCTCTTTACACTAGCTCATCTTTTCACGAATTCTATCCCCTAGGCCCTCAATATGCTTATTGGTCCCAATTTTCTGACTTTCTTCTTTCTCTGGATATCAATCCAAATAAAAAATTTAAATTACCCTTGATATTTAAAAAGAACATTTTTTTAATTGAGATTTGGGAGTAAGAATGAAAAGAAAAATAAATTTTAGACATCACATATATTTAAGTATTTTCTTGACTTGTGTGCTTTTTCAGGGGTAATTGTCGAAACTTGCACTGATAACTGTCTAGATTTTGCAAATCGTGTTATAGATAAAAACAACAAGATTATTAAAAGTTGTCTAGTATATTAAAATGAAAGGGAGGGAACAGTAGTTGGCCTTGTAATCTTGTATTGCATGCATGAACAAGGGCGGCAATTAATCAGAGCATGTGGACGTACTCCATCAGTTGAGGCGAGCAATTAGCGATCATCACACGGCCATTTTCTTCAACCAATTGCTTTCCCCTCAAATTAAACTAATTAATGGTGATTTTGGAGGGGGGGGAAAGCGACTTTTGGAACCCTCAAAGTTAGATTTGAGGAGATCGATCTCTCCTTTTTTAGGAGAGGATCACAAGTGCGCATATACATAATGGGGCACCACCAAGCTAGCTAAGAGGAGAATTTGCTTCGTTCCCAGCCAGTAAATTAGCGCATGCATGGCCACCAACGAGTTCCTGGAATATATTTCAAACTCTAACGTCTTTTCCTTCTTTCTTTCGCACGTGATCACTTCATCTCATGCCCTGCCACAGTGCCTGAAAAAAATTAATAATTGATGCCGCCACAATCAAAGCATTCGAAAAGTTACGTTCAAGGAGTCATGTTCTTTCTTTCGTATGTGCGAACTGCGAACAAGAAGAAAACACGAGAGATCTACTTTGATGAATCTTCATTGGCCAGGAATTGCATATCACTGTTATTTTGCGTGTTTGATCATGTTAATCACACGGATTGACGAATCAATCAATTTCATTGATTTATAGCGAGAAAAGAGAGTGAAATTCCTGATTGTTTACATTTCACTGCCGGGGACATCAAAACGTTAGCCAACCTCAATAATCTTAATAGGAGGCGCCGGTGAATTAAGGAGGTGATGGGTCCAGATGATGGGGGAGGGTGCTAGATGCTGTCCGGACTAAAAGAAAGGGCACAACAAGAGCAAGTGCCTCACCTCACGCATAAATTCGGGATTTGAAAGCAGTGTGTGTTATTAGAAGGACAGCGGGGCACTCGGGGGGATTCACAGAGGATTGATACGTGGATCCCATCCATCACCACCATATCAACGGGAGAGAAAAGGGGGCGCAGGTTTGGTAAATGAGTCAGGACAAACAGCACCCAACTCAATTCTCTACTCCCTCCCCCTTCTCCTCTTTTTCTAATATATGGGACCATTTTTGAATGGGCTTCGAAGCGGTCGGCACAGGCTTCGCTCGCCTGCAGTCTGCTCCACCCATCCAACTCGGTTGCAACAATTAATCATACTTCCTTCTGATCTGCACTTTGGTGGATGGTTGGTGGCAGAAACACGCCTGACGATCAACTCGGTCCCATCTTCCATGGAACCCGCATTCTTCACCTACTAAACTCTGGCTTCCTCGGCCTCCGACCCCATCACTCCCGGCTCTTTTGCTTCTCTTCATCCTTCTGTCCCTGGTGAATGATTTTCATCATTTTATTTTAATGTTTTACTCCCTCTTACAAGCGCCTTCTGTCGTTTACACAAGTGTAGTGCAAGTTTAAAAATTTTTCACTTCGGGAATAAAATTAAAAATATTATTTATTTTGAGATAAAATCAATAACTTAACCATACCTTTTTAATTTTAATAAGATAATTAGAGGTGTAAAAAAATAAATAATATCATTCAAGGACTACTAAGTAATTAATATCAAAGAATGACAAAATTATAAAATATTACTGTAGGACTACGCAATTAATTTAAATAATTTAATTGAAAAAATATTATAGTACTTTCGTTTTTTCTTTCCTGAAACTTTTCAACTAACGAATTGTTTCTTATTAAATGTAAATAAATATTTATTAATTAATAAATAACTATTTATTAAAAGATGATATTTTTTTTTAAAATGTAAGGTATTTTTAATTTTTTAAGATATTATTGTATTTTTTTTAAAAGTATCCCGATTGATGTTGACTTTATATTTATTATAGATATTTAATAGGAGTAAATATGAAAAGATAGAGTTAGTTTAAAAGTAAGTAACTACTTTATTGAAGGGTAAGATTTAATTAAAAATATCTTACATTTTTAAACAAAAGGAGTATACTCTTTTAGATTACTTGTTGACATATGCTTGAACCTGGTCAATTAAAAAAAAGGCAGAAATATCATAGATTTTTTTAAATTTAAAATTATTTTTAAATTAATTCTATAATCTTATAATAATATTTTAAAAATTTTCAATTCTTGATTGATGTTAAATATTATTATCTTCGAATGATGCTTTTACATTTAAGAAGTGGCGCAGATTAAAAACAACCGCCTTACAAAATGGGGGAAAAAAAAGAAAAGAGAAGAAAAGCGAGGTAATTCCGCCCATGCCATGATGTAATGTGGTCTTCGCATGTCAATTCTACTTGTGCGTGCCCCAAATTGCAGTTAGGCGGGTAGGTATAGTTTATAGATCACAGTCTCTTCTTTTTCTAGAGAGAGAAAATCAACACGGGGGGAGGGGGAGGGAGAGAGAGTGTGTGGAAGGGAACGAGACTCGAACAACCAAACAAACGAAACTGACGCTTTCGCTATACCAAGTAACCGCTATGACTGAAGGAGACCGTGCCGGCTCTGCCTCTCCCTCTCCGTCTCTTCCCCTCGAACCTCCCCACAATGGGGCCGCCGACTCGGAAGTCGCCGGTTTTTCCGACTTGGAACCCCTTGCAGGCGACGCCGACTTTTCTGGGCTTGGAGACGGAAACGTTGCTGGTAGAGTGAAGGGACCTTGGTCCCCGGAGGAGGATGCCGTTCTCAGTCGATTGGTCAGCAAGTTTGGGGCAAGGAATTGGAGCATGATCGCGCGAGGGATACCGGGTCGCTCCGGCAAGTCGTGCCGTCTCCGTTGGTGTAATCAGCTTGACCCCGGTGTTAAACGCAAGCCCTTTACTGGTAACCTCCCTTCCACGGTCATTCTCCCGTCATTGTCTGCTCTTTTTTTTTTTTTAATTGATTTCATTTTGTGCCTTGCTATTCCTATTTTAGATTTGATGGTTGGCGTAAGCTTTTTGCTCTGTTTTAAAGTGGAAAAGGTCCCGATTCTTATTTCATCCGTTTTATCTGATATTATCGTTCTCACCCTTGGGGACGGGGACTTGGGGTTACATGACCGTTCATTCTGTGTTCAAGTTGATGATTCTGGAATCTTGTCCGAGATTATTTAACTGGATCATAATATTATAAAAATCCCTGCATAAAACGCTACATTTTCTATGTTATTTCTTGATTTATTGTGGAATAAAACCCTTTATAATTTACCAATTTCTGGGCTTCATGGTCATTGAGAAGTTGTGAGGCCAATAAGAATTTATCATTGGTTTTCCCCCGCCTGACGCGTTACACGGATATTAGTTGAATTGCATTCATGCCTTCATGGAGATCATGTTGTTTTTTCAGTTATGGCAATCAGCTCTTTGGTTCTGGTTTCTGCATTTGAAAATAACACTTCACTAAAGGTAGCCCAAACGTAACCACTCGTTGGCAAGAAAAGGAAGTTAGTACGGCCTTTAAAATATAATATAATAAGAAGTCCCGTGCCAAGCCCGAAGGCAAAGAATGGCACACGGAATGAATCCCATCCTACCTTCTCTAAGAGGAGGTTGGGTGAGTAGACACCATTCCCTTCCTAATGAGATATTGAGCTTGACTTGAGCATTTCCAGTGAAAAAGTTTGATCTTTTATTGATGGTCTTCAAACCAGCACTAAAATGGATGCGCGTGCTAAATTAGTATCTGTCTTGAAAATGTTGGTGTAGAATGTACACAAAGTCGTTGATTAACTCCTATGGGGTAATGTTTAAGTTATCTATATCCATTTGACTGACCTTATTATTATTTACCCTCTCATTGTTGATCTGGCTAGTCTCGTTAAAAATACACTAGTTGCTTTGGTTTAATATTGTGACTGACCCTAATTTGGATGCCAAAAGGCAATAATATAAGAGAAGCTTCTTGATTCTCAATGTTTAGGATATAGTTTTACATGCTAAAGTTTAGTTGAAATTTAACAATTTACTCCCCTTGATGTTTAAATAAAATTTGTTTTGATCAGGAACTTGAGTGGTTCTGTGCTAGCACTGCTTTGGTCCTTTCTTTAACGTCATAAGATGGGAATATCTAAAATCAAAGGCCGATCTCCACAACAGGGTCACATTTGTAGGTAAAGCTTATATGTGAACGTGTGTGTTAGAACAATAACTTTTGAAGAGTATAAGCTTAGTAACTCGGTGGTTTATTAAGAAAACTAAGTGACCAAGGTACTGAACGTCATGTGAAACTAACAATAATTTTTTTATTTCTGAAGAGATGGAGAAGAAACCAAGCCAGTAATCACAATGGAGTGGAAACACTTGATAGACAACATAATCTTTGACTCGCTACATCATGATTTAACACCATTTGAGAAGTTTGATGTAAGCAAAGGTAGTTTTAAATTCTAATACCCAATGAAGAGCTATAAATGATTGGTTAGAACATCAACATTTCACTTAATTAGGACAAGTTGGTGGATGGCGATTAGAGGAATTGATTATGGCTTAGGAAAGTGATTGATGGATAGACAACAATGAACTGATATAAATATATTATTTGAATAATTTCCTAAAAGACTAGTATCCTATGTTTTAAATATATGGAGTGTGTTGACAGTGATACCTGATCTACTTACATATGCCGTTAGAGTGGTCCAAAGTATGGTTCAGTAATCTTCATCCTGCTAATTTTTTAGTGCATGGCAGTTATATAACAGTGCATTGCTTTCATCTAATTTATATTTGCTGCAGCCTCAAGAATGCTTAGTAGATCATCACGCAATAATAGTAATGATGTTTTATTCCATATGTAGAAGATAAGTTGTTGGCTCAAATTAATGCAGCCAGTTATTTGTCACCGCTAAGCAGTGAGAACCTATCAAAGCAGCATTGGAAAATGCCAGAATGGCGCTACCAAATTGTTTTAGCTTCATCCCTGTTGCTAGTGTTGCTTTGATTATTTTTTTTATTTTTATGGTCATATTGCTTGATCAATTGTGTAAGTCCTGGTCTGGCACCTTAGCTTGGCCCCAATGAAGCTGGCATCTTAAACAGGATTATGTTTTAATATATCAAAAGTCAGTGTTGGAATTTTGTATTGTTTGACAAATGATGCAAATGGTGGACACTGTGTTACGTGTATGTTTCATTTAATCTTGAGTAATTAAATAGTAAAATCTTCTCAGACTGGCTAGCCTTGTTTTCACCATCTCACTGGCAGCCATGTTATTTCTTATGTCCCAGACTGTTGGTACCTAGTAAAACTCATCTAGGCTTTACATATATATTTTCTTTCGATTTAACAGATGCATCTGTGGATGTGGCTTTTAATATTTTATTTTTAGGAAATATTTGTTGATGAGTACAATATTGAGATACTATTTCCTCTTTGTGGTCATTATCTCCTTACTTTATCCATATCGGGAATTGGGACAAAGCACCTGGACCTTTTTAGATGTAATTCCTGTTCCAGGCTTTTGTTAGGCCAGAAGTTAGGAACAAATTCTTTATATTTGCTTGGAATTTTACTTACGGAAAGAAAGATCATCATACTTGTCTTTCCGTATACTGCTTCAGTGCTTCTTTGCTTTATGTGATAAATTCTGCCTTTTCTGTTGCCCGTTTTAAAAGTGGAAGGTGTGACATAGTTTCATGGTAGGATATCAATTATTTATTGTGCTGTGGTGCTGTGGTGCTGTGGCCTGTGGGATAATTGACATAAAAGTCGGTATTTTCTGCTCGGCCATTATTGTATATCATGTGGACCTCATTTCTTGATGCACTACGCATATATTTCTATAACTTAAATGTTGCCTTTCTGGGGCATTCATTGATTTTTCACCTGTACATGTCTTTGTTTGCATGTATTAGCAACATGAGAAACATGGTTAACTGATAAGCTTGAGTTTCTCTATACTGTTGCATTCATAATTCGCATGTCATCTATGGATTTTTATGTGGGGACAGATTTAGGTACAGCTTGCATCAAGTTACCCAGTAAAAAAACATGATAAATGGATCTATTTTACAGCTCAATAGCACGAGATTGGTTTTTTTCAATAAAGTAACTTCACTTAGGTCTTGTCTTTTTTATGGGGTCTCCAATGGATGGAAGATAGGGGTTGAAGCTGGATAGCTGATACCTCTCCACTCCAAGGAAAGCTCATACCAAACCTTCCACGTGTATGTATGTTTCCTCCTAGGTATTGCTTCTTTGCTTTGTATGCTATATGTTCTCTTGTTGTAAACTTGTGTTCATTCAATGAACAAATTAGCCTCGGCAGAGCCAAAAAAAAAAAAAGTCCACCATGATGAATACCTTGTGCCTCACAAAGTCTAATGAAATGTAAATTGCTGCAGAAGAAGAAGATCGTATTATAGTTGCAGCCCATGCAATGCATGGAAACAAATGGGCAGCAATAGCTAGGCTTCTTCCAGGACGAACCGATAATGCTATAAAAAATCACTGGAATTCTACACTTAAGCGCAGGTGCTTGGATCTTCGAAGATACATACCGGTGGGAGCTGGCGTGGAAGAGGGCAGCCTTGAGGCCCCTGAAAAAATAAAGGCATCTTCCGAAGAAACCATGTCAGCAGGGTCTCCATTGAATCCTACACAAATTAAAAATGTCGGGATGGATGGTGGTATCAATCAGCACGAAGATAATCCTCCAAGAAACCATGGTGCTGAAGTGGAGGAATATCCTACCGTGTGTCAGCCAGTAGCACGTGTTAGTGCATTCAGTGTCTATAATCCTCCAAGCAGGCCAACAACTGGATCCACGTACTCAAGGATGCTCCCAATGCATGGCCCTTTGATCCAATCGTCCAAACTCAAAGTAGGTGCCTACAAGCTATTTGAAGATGTTGGCTGTGAACCCATGGTTCCCGTGCAATGTGGTCATGGCTGCTGTTCTGCAAGTTCTCAGGAAAGCCATTCTCATGAGTCGCTGCTAGGTCCTGAGTTCGCTGACTATGCGGAGCCCCCCTCTTTAACAAGTCATGATTTGATCTCTATAGCTACAGATTTGAACAATATTGCTTGGATCAAGAGTGGCCTAGATGCCAGAGTAACGGAGAATGCAGCAAACTTGACGCCATCTCAAGGCGTTACTACTGCCTTCCAAAATTGCTTCTTTGAGGAGGGAGCAAGCAAGTTTGTGGGTGTGATGCAAGACATGTTAACAACGCAGAAGTCTAGCCATCCATTTGCAATGCCTGCAGAGGTTTGACGGATGATTGAGATAGGCCTGCTGATTTCACTGTCTGTCTTGGTGGTTTCTCAGCTCAAATCTGATCGCAGGGGCTTACAAATTTCTATCGTTGACGCGAGGTCACGATAGTTTCCTTGAATTGTTTTCTTCATATGAAAATATACATATAGAAACTGATTCAGTAAAGAGTTCTTTCCCTTCTCATTATCGTGTCCCTTCGCCTACTTATAACCTGGACTACTCCATTGCTACACACACACCACCGGGACTCTCGGTGTTAATAAAATATTTATTATATTTTAAAACTATTTTTGTATGTTTATTTATAAATTTATAGCACGTTTTTTAACCATTTTTAATGCTTTCGATATTTTGTTAACTTGTACGAGGTACGAAAACAGAAAGTGGAAGCTAAAGTAATAGATAGCTTGTGTTGAGGAGCATCATGAGTCAACACTGGCATGACAATGTTTTGTTTTGAATTACAAGACAGGCAACGGCCTGGAGAAATGAAGACGATCAAACGAGTCATCTCTATCAGCCAAGAGGAAGTTCATGCATCCCTGCCCCCCGCGGCCCGGGGGACGGGGGGCGGAGTTTAGGAGTAACAAGTCGTCTTCTCCTTGTTGAGCATCTTGGGCCAAGAAGTCCGCCACTCTGAGGCATTCTGGTCTGGACAAAAACAATTGGATATCCCAATCAGGGAACATAAAGTTCTGGACGGATGTAATTTCCTGTCGAAGAGGGAGATCTGCTCCACCCCTGTCATGAGTAAGTTGATAGCTTCAAGTGAGATCTGATATTTGCTTACACAGTCTCAGTCCTTCCATCGGAGCATGTTATTCTGCAGCAGCAGTGGTGGAAAACCTAGCCTTTTTTGAAAAACAAATAGCCACTTTCCCTGATTATCCCGAAGAAGACCAACACAAGTGGCTTGTCCTTGGTTGTTAACAGATCCATCAACATCTAGGCAAAAGAAGCCCAGATGTGGACAGCACCATTGTTCCTCACGCTGATCGGCATTTTGGAAGATTTGATGCTGGAATTATTTTTTCAGAATTTATTTTTACGATTATTATAGATATTTTCTATCATTCTAAATTGGTTTTTCTAACCTTGTAAGTTCATGTCATGTAAAAATAATGGCTAGTTATCAACCATATAAAATTTTAAAAAATATTAATTTTAATTCTAGAATTAGTTTAGTAAGAAAGATATTTTAAATGATTTTAATTATATTTTTTGTTAATTAAAAAATTTATTTTCATATTTTTGAAAATATTTTAAGATTGGACGAACTTCGGGCGGCCCAATACCCGGGTACTGGGTTAGGGGATGAAGCCTGCCCGTGTATAGGCCTAGATCCCTGGCTTTCCCATTTTTGCGCTCATTCCCTTGCTCAACTTATATTTTACAATTCACGTCCCTCTGGTGAGTCGTCTTGTACTTTGATTATTGGAGACTCGAAATTACAGGTTGATTGATCGGACTCATAATCTCATCCCAATCAACCGCCAAGAGAACCGCATGCAGTGAAACGAGCTTATTGCAGCGGTAGCAGTGAGTCTGCTCACTGTCTATTACTATTACATGACAAGATGTGAGTGATTAAGCGATCCAGGGAACGACGGGAGGAGCCTCCTTGTTTAAGACACAGACTGGCCTCCTCTTTCAACTGCAACGCTCTCTCCCTCATAGCCTTCCCTTCATCCTCCACCATTATTCTTTTGATGCCCTTCTCCACCTCTCCTCTCTCAATCTCCTTCCCCAACTGAACCCCAACCTTCCAAACCTCGCTCGCGTATTTGGCATTCACCTTCTGGTCTGCAAAACACGGCATGCAAATCATCGGAACCCCTTCGCATATGCTCTCCAGGGTTGAGTTCCACCCGTTATGGGTCCAGAATGCTCCCACTGCCGGGTGACTCAGCACCCGTCCCTGTGGGGCCCATTTCACCACGTGCCCTCTTCCTCCCAGACTCTCTATAAACCCATCCGGCAAGGCTTCCAGCCACGGGGAGCCCGTCACCAGTCCCGGCCGGACCACCCACAGGAATGGCTGCTTGCTGTCGGCCAAACCCCAAGCCATCTCCACCAGCTCCCTCTTGGTTACTGCGACGATGCTGCCGAAGCTCACGTACACAACAGAGTTGGGTTCTTTTGTGTCCAACCAAGGGATGCAACTCTCGTCCGGGATCATCAGGGCGCCGGAAGAGAGCGAGCCTGAAGTGACGTGCTTGTGAAAGGGGCCAATCGGGTAGATGGGTATGGAAAACTCTAGCGTGAGTTTCCCCAATGCAGATGATTCCAGCTCTTCATATGTGTTCCAAATTACTCCCGACGACGACTTGAGCTCATCCATCATGCGACACACGAATTCATAAAATGCCTCCGGATCTTTTGTCTCAATTTTTGGAAGGTCTTTCACTTTCAGCGGCGGAAGCTCTGCCACGGCTTCTTCCCCTCTACACTCTGAATATCCAACACAAGCAAATCCAATAACATGATCCTATATTTTAAAATAACAACAATGAAACTACTAATGTCCTTACTATTGTTGTGATTAGCATTATATATATATATATATATATATGTATTTATATATTTTATATATAATGATTTTGTGATTATTTATGAATTGTCTCGCTTTAATAAATAAATAAATAAATAATGATACTATCATTTAATCATTCAAACCTATCTACAAACTCCCGTATGCTCTTCCTGTGAAACAATATTTTCCTGTCAAAAATCGAAAAATTTCCTTCTGTTCTCGGCATTCTGGTTTGATTCAGCAGTCAGGGAAACAAGCATGATTAAAACAATTAGATATGTTAATAAAAATGGCATTCGTAAATAAAATCCCTTCTCTTTCCAGCGGTTGAATCGATACTCGATAGAGCCAACTACCGGTCAAAACAAGAGAGCAATTTGGCAATGAATATAAGAAACATTCTGGGAACATATAAAAGATGAATAGCAGGAAGATTGAAAGCAGGTGAGGGAAGCGGAGGCAGAAGAACGCACCTTGAACAGGAAGGTAACCTCTGCGTCTCAAAAGGGGGAACAAAGAGAATACCAGAAAGGACGATGCGCCACCGGTGCGCAAGACGAGGCGGGGGAGATGGAGAGAGTCACAAACAGATCGAGTGAAATGAAGGGCGGCGTCGGAGATCAAGCAAGCGATAGGGTCGAGGGAGGGATCGGATAACAAAAGAGACAAGCAGCGAGTGAGATGAGGCGCGCATCTGATGTTGATGAGGTTGGTGAGGTGAAGAGGATCGGATGTGGAGGCTTCGGATTCGGATAATTGATCGGGGAAGGGAGCGAAGGTGAAGTGAGGATAGGCAGTAGAGTTGGGAGAGTTGAAGAGGGTGTGGGTGATGATGATGGAGAAGCCATGGGAGAAGAGGATGTCTGCGAGCTCCAGTAGCGGCGCGATGTGGCCTTGTAATGGCGATGGCAACAGTACTATGGAACGGCCTTTCCGCTCTCGCTCCATTCCTGCCTCGACGCTCCTCCTTTCCTTTTCCACAACTATTTAAATGCCGTCTTCTCTGCGGGTGAACCTGAGTCGCCTCAAATTTCCAACGGCCCTCGCCAGTCGCCAACTTGGATTTCTCTTCTGCTTCAATCCTTTTACTTTTCCTTCCGTCACGGATGATTAGATCAGTGACAATAGAGATTCGGAATCAATTCATTCTTTGGACACCCGGTAAATTTTCCAATACTACCCAAAAAAAAAAAAAAATCATTTTGTCTAGAGCCCCCCAAAATTCTAAACACGTCCCTGTCACTCATCATGTTCAATATGCATTACGTGGCAGGCCTGGAGAAATTATGAGCTCAACAATAATCAGCCATGTGGGTTCAGTTTTGGTGCTCCACGCATTTCAGTGCTCCACACTTATCATATTCAAAGGATTTGCAGCAGAAATTTTTAAACGAAATGGCAATCTAGGCAAGAAACCTTCAATTAATTATAACCATTTATTTATTTCAGGAAGAGTGATATAATTTCCTTTTACAACATCACAGTTGCCACATATGTTTCTGAGAAAGAATACAAGCTTTACATAACATGAGAATGAATCAATTACAATTGCTGTACTGGTGAGTGTAAATCATGCCTATCTATATTATCCCAACAGCCCAGAATAAACCATTTAATGTGGCCCGCACTTTCCCTTCAAGCACCTATTATAAACAAGGAATGTGTAGGATATTCATGACATTAAGTAATCTGATTGGCAAAACCATTGCATCAGAGGGAAAAGGAATTTCAGGAATAAGTATTGACATCAACGGGCAGAACCGCACAAGATTGATGTTGGCTTTTGCTCTTCGCCAAAGATATCTGAGAGGCCACCCAAGAAAATCACAATTATAACACTGAAAAGCATCAACTGAATTACGAAAAAGTTGTCAACGTCTACTGTTAAAATGAAACACCAGACATATGAGACACCCATACAGGGAGCAAATCATGATTTACACAAAGCTTATATCCAAGACAAACTGAATGAAGAGTAGCCAACAAATCCTCTTGAAGTCCAAAATGAAGATGATGAAATTTGCATTATTACAGCATCTGACATTGAATTCAAAGTTTAGCACAGCACGAGATTAAGGGATCGATTGAGTTTTCAAAAGTTAACAGTCAAAATAACAGACAGTAAAAGCAAACTTCTCGGAGTTACATAGAACCATGACAGTTAAGAACACTTTCGTTTCATCACAGATAAGTAACTCGATTTTCCCCTGCTCATTCCAGTTTCAAACTATTACTTCGAATGCATGATGACCCATTTGGTGTCACACAAGAATGGGATTCCCATTCCACTGTACAAAGATCAATAAATGTTATATTTATTTATCACTATTCAACTGGAACAGTTTTTTTTTTTTTAAACTAATTTTCCCGTGTCAAAGATTCATCATGAGATGTGAGAGACATTTCTCATCTACAAAATTATTTCTTTCGTTTCATTCATTTCTGTGTAACAACTGCTCATTCCAGTTTCAAACTATTTCGCAGAATGCATGATGACTCATTTGGTATCAACACAAGAAAGGGATTCGCATTCCACTGTACAAAGATCAATATATGTTATATTTATTTATCAGTATTCAACTGGAACAGTATTACTTTTCTCCTATCAAAGATTCATCATGGTATGCAAGAGACATATCTCATCTACAAAATTATTTCTTTCGTTTCATTCAATTCTGTGTAACAAACGAGCCTTTAATGAAGGTATGAGATACCGTTCATTTACGTACCAAGAGAAGATCCTCATCTGTACCAAAGGATTTGCGGGCTTCTTCCAAGGACTTTGAAGATATCCTCTTGTGTTTCCTACACGAAGTTGGGGAATATTGAATTTATATAATCATAAAGATGGCCAGACAACTCATTGGCATGGATGATGATTTAAAAAAAAAAAAAAAGGTGACTAATTGTTTAGTAACATTGCTTTCACCTAATTGCTTAGAAATAAAATGATATTACAAGATCATTTCTTGCAAATTTAATCATAAATTACTCCAGATAGACAATAATTTTAAAGGAGATTGTAATCCAACGACACTGGTACACATGATCATGACCAAATCTTCTCATAGAAAGATAAATTTTAGCATCTAGGTGAAAGAGCAAAATATACTCTAGTCAGTAGAAAGAGGAAGAAGAAGGTACTTAGAACTCGCAGGATCTCTAATCTCAAACATATCTGCCCCAGCATCATACCCACATATCAACACATAGTGACCTGTCAAAGGCAATTGTCTTCTTAGAAATCGGTTAGTTACATAATGCTTAAGAGATGCATGGACATGAAACGGGGAGAATGATTGCATTCATATGTATTAAAAAAAAAAATTCTTTTCTGATAATTGGAAAGCAATCAAAATCTTGGGGGGATTTAAAAACTAAATTACCATTTAATCCCCTTGGTCATTTTTTAATAGATATTCCCTTTGGTCCTTATTGTAAGGAACTTTCAACTATTTCATGAATCTTAAGAATATTTTTTTTTTTTGGGTTAAAGGGCAAAATTGCCCTGGAACTTTTTTTTCAGGGGTATGTGGCACCCTGAACTTTTTTTTGGAGCATTTTTGCTCCGAACTTTTCAAAAAGAGACCCTTTTTGCCCTACCGTTAGAAATTACAAACATGAACCATTAACTGAAATTTGACTAAGAGTTAAATAGCATATTTGCCCTGGAACTTTCTCTTCAGGAGCGCTGGGTACCCTAAACTTTTGTTTGAAGCTTGTTTACCCTCGTAGTTTCAAAAAGAGAAATTTTGCCCTGCCATTAGTATTGACCGTTACTTTGACTTTAATTGCCATATGTAGCCAAACGGCATTTAAAAAAAAAACCACCTAGATAGCAAGAACACCTCCATTAACATCAATAATAAGAAGAAGAAGAACTCCATAAACAATAAGCAATTTCAAATCATCCGAACTCCTACCTATACCTAGAGACAATCAACTATCCGTTGAGTCAATCCATATGAACTCAGCCATTGAAAGCTCTCTTTCTCTATATTCAACAATTCCATTATCTCACTTAACTATGATTACTCCGTGAACTCCGACCTTAACTCGAACTCTTTTGAGGACTTCACAACATCAAAATTGACCATGGTGGTGATGGCAAAAGCAGCAGCTTGGACGTTATGCAGGGAGAATAAAGGCAATCTAGGAGAAGTTAAGAATGGTGGATTTGCCTTTGATGGACAAAGCAGCAACATCATGGGCTTGAGTGACCATTTTTGGGGGTGGAAAGTGTCGAGCTAGATGCGAAACTTCTTGTGAGGTCACAAATCTCAGACACTTACTTTTCACAACTTCGCATTTAAACTCCAATCCATGGTAATGTAGGAGCTTACTAGTGGAAAAGGAGCAGGAGGAAAAAGAGGAGGAGGAGGATGAAGAAGGCAAGGCAAAATTACTCTTTTTTTGAAACTTTCAGGGTAAACAAACTCCAAACAAAAGTTTAGGATACCCAGCGCCCCTGAAGAAAAAGTTCCATGGCAAATATGCTATTTAACCCTTGGTCAAAATTTAGTTAACGGTCAACGTTCGTAATTTCTAACGGTGGGGCAAAAATGCTCTCTTTTTTGAAAAGTTCTGGGCAAAAATGCTCCCAAAACAAGTTCAGAGTGCCAGGTGCCCTTGGAAAAAAAGTTCCAGGGCAGTTTTGCCCTTTAACCCTTTTTTTTTATATCATAAAAAAATGAAATATCCTTTCATTTTTACCCTTGCTTTAAATAAAGATACAACTATATTAAATACCTTCACACTAATTAAAAAGGGTGAAATTGAAAAAAAAAGTCTAATTATTACAAAGTGTCCTGTATTTTGAACCAAAAATTATTTCTAGAAAGTGTCCTCCAAATAAGACTGGAGGAGTACACCTGAGTCCTAACATAGCAACAGCAATATATATATTGAATGGAGAGGCAAGTACAAAGCTTGAAACAAGTAAAGCAAACAAATAGAAAAAACTCCTAAAAGAAAAACAGCAAAGTATAATCTATAAAAGCATGAGATGCCTTATCCTACCTATGGTGTGAGACATTGATGACCAATAAATAATCCTTTTCATATAATTTTAAAAGGGGGGTGTTCAAGTTGGAACCGACTAAGTCGGCTGAGCATAGGGTAGTTTCAATTTTTTAATTACCAATGGATTAGTTTGCAACAACAAAAAAAAATATGAGAAGAATTTAATCCTTGTTTCATTAAGGTGAGATAATTAAATTGAATACCCGCACCACATAGACCATCCAGATCCCCTTTTTTCATCATCATCATTATTGTCATCATCAACATGCGAAGCATTGTGTTACCTTGACTTAGTCTGCCACAGAATTTCTCAGCAGTTCAATTGAGTTTGATTTTTCTTTCGCTTCAGATTTTCCTATCTTAATTACATACACATAACTCCATAATTTTGCAGTACCCATAACTTGAAATTAAATATTTTTAAAATAAACTATATGGACATGCCCTAAATTTTATTGAAATTACATGAATCCTTTATTTTCAAAACCAATACCCCTCCCTTAAAGACAAAAAAAGCAAATTACATGAACCTCTCTCTCTCTCTCTCTCTCTCTACCAATTACATGATCCTCTTACGTTTTGTTAAATTACAAAATTTCTCATCTACTTTTCAACTGAACAAACTTCTTTTAAAAACAAAGAATATGGACAAATTTCCCTTGAATTATTGTGAAACTGCACATACTTCTCTTTTATTTTCAAGGGAGGATTTTGTATATTTTAAAAATAGATCAGAGATGTGTATAATTTCAAAAAAACTCAATTGATGTTTATATGATATGATATCTGCTTTAGAGGTTTGTGAAAGTTTCAAAAATAGAGGGGAAGTTCTTTATTTAACAAAATTTAAAGAAAGTTTGAATTGATTATGAAAGTAGACGAGAGGACCATCAAATTTCAATAAATTCAGGAAAGGTCTTTGTAATTTACTTAATTCCATATATGCATATGTACTTCACAACAACTACGATATGAATACCATAGGTGTTCACTGAATTTGATACTATTTACAAATGGAGGAAGTTTGTAAGGAATACCTTCAAAATCAATAGAATACAATTAAAAATAGTTAAAAGGAAAAAGACCAATATATCAGTAGTAACCTGTGTAGCCAGAGTTGTCGCAGAAGATGGCCGGGACTGGAGCATCTTCTTGCCACACATGACTAAAACCAAAAACTATAAAAGCGTGTAAGAACAGTCCATCACCAAAGAAAATGGCATAATGAAAGTGAAGTGAACACGATAAAAAAGGATTTTATATGGCATGGTGGGGTAAAATTCAGTAACAATGGAGGATACCAATGAATTGTCATGGTTAAACCCAGGTGCCATCTGAATTTGCAGAGAATTATGAGTATAGTCATGCAGATTATGTGTCCAAGCCAGTGAGGAAAAATAGGTCAAAGAAACTATACCTCAATTTGTTGTGGTCAACTAATGCAATAGCAATGTATTTCCCAGACAATATTAGACTAGAAATCTCTTCTCCTCTAAGTGATCTACACTGTAAAAGATGAAATGTTTTGTTAAAGAAAATAAAGCTATTAACAAATATATATTATACTAAAGCTTGAGATCGATCCCATAATTTGTGAGATTAAGTGAAGTTTTTCAGATTAATGTTTGTTTCCTCTTTTGATTTTCTGTTACTTATGCTGTATCCTGCATCTTGGGATATTTCTAGATCTAGTGTTTTCTTTGCTCATTAACTCTATCATTAGTCTTGCATATATGTCCTCGTAATCATGAAAAATAATAGATTATGCTTGAGAAGTAATTCTGATCTCATTTTCGTATCATTTTAAACAGCAAACTTGACCAACCAATGAACATAACATTCTGCTAGTCAGTTTCTTCCAATTATCATATATCTGCAGGAAAATATTAATATTATGGTAAACGTGCAGCTCATTGCAGTCCTTTTAATTATTGATCATCAAAATAAATGTACTAATAGAAACATTAATTCACAGGAGGAGTGGCAATTAAAAATGATCTGATATTTTACTTCTTCAATAATTGACAATAAGAGAACTTTTGGCCCAAAAAATTCATGCTACGGGGAAGTCCAAAAAGGTGCACCCTGCCTGTATGTTAATTCCAGCCTCCACTGCTTTCTGAAATAGCTTATCAACTCTCTCCAGATCATTAGGTAATTGCTCCTGTACAATATTGAAAACACAATCTTTTTATGTTATTGCAAATAAATAATGTATTGAACGTATGCTAAAAGCCTGAAATGGTATATCAGTGCAATGAAATCAAGACACTACAAAACATATAGCTTAAAGGAAGAAGGGAAATTGGATTCATTTTCTAGAGATACCGCCACTAATAAAAAAAGGTAGGCAAGATGGCATAATTAATGACAAGTAACGGAATACCTTTTAGTTACGCGCGTCAAAAGAATGTACTCTTTAATAATATTATGACTCAAATATATCACAACCACTTTCTGACCTAAATGAAAGTACTATTATATTCAATGTGCAATGAATTGGTGTGATTGAGCAAACGATAGAGAGCTTGTGAACGTTTCATGATGACAGTGAATTACCTTGTAAAATGATTCAACACAATAGTTTGGATTTGCACCAAAAGTTACTGTGAAGTAGCAAAAACGGACAGAAAACTTCTGTAGCAGATACGCCAAATCAACAGTCCAAATGCTGAACAGTAGTAGCCAAGAATGAGATGAAGCAGAAGTCAATTACATATTTTTTTATTTTAAATTGTGATTATCTTCTGATTTAGTATTTACTTCTAAGAAGTAAACACATTCAATAACTTCAATTAAGCAAACAAGAAAAACGTAATGAACTAGATCAAAAGCATTTTCCATAATCTTCAAGCATCTCACATAACATGGTAGCTAGGAGTTCTGAGACTGTGTAGAAGAAAAACCTAGTTGTGCAGCATAGTTCAGCCAGTTCTTGGATATTGCAATTGTTGACGCCAATGGTTTTCAAAACCATCGATACACAAGCAAGACCACAATCCCATGTGTATGATTGGTTTATGTGAGGTACCTATAAGCATGATAGCGATGAAACATGTTTAAGATATAATAGATAAAGAGAGAACATTTGTAATTTACCGTAGAAACCAAAGACTAAATTAAATTAACTCAACTTTAACTGTCTGGCAAATAACCTCGTATTGTTTTACTTTTGGCAATTAACAAATTCAAACTTCAACATTTAGAAAATAACACATTCCATTGAAATTGAAATTTGACAAATTTATAAACACTGATTAAAATGCCATTGCCCAAGATAAAAAATCCGAGAGAAATTTACCATGAAACACATTTGTGCAATTAAGTTCTACCAAATTGCCAATTTAATTAATCTGATTTCCTTGCTTTTTTTAACTTCTTCAAAAAAGAAAGGGGTTAATTGCCACATTTCAAAATTCAAGGGGCTGATTGCCAAAAGCTGCAATGGGTCATTTGCCAAGGGTCAAAGCAGAAAGGGGTTATTTTCACGTTAAACTAAACAGAAAGCTACCATGCAAACATCAGACGACACTTACTTCAACAAATCGCGAGCGGGGTAAGGCAGGAGGATGGCAACCCATGTTAATTGATGGCTGCTGAAACAGGTAGGGATCTATTGCACCTGACATATCTCCTTTTAGTTCTTTTTCATCTTCTGTTTTAAGATTTTTGCTGAATATAGAATATAAGGGCCACATCAATGACCAGATTGATTACCTGCAGCAGCTTTGGCAGAAAATTATTAGATGTCAAAGATAGGCATTTTCTGTTTCTCTAATTAAAGTCCTCAGTTTCTGCAGCCTCTGAAAGGCCATGACACAGAGAAAGCGGGAATCAGGAATTTGTATTCCTTAAAGGTAAATGAACCAATCAAGCTCGGTCAATTTGTGACTACGATTTTGATGTGAACTCAAAAATGTCTATAATGAAAAGCCGTGACATTTGACATTGAGTGGAGGCAACTCCATTGAACTAATACACGGCCAGTATCACAAATAAATGAAACATTTTATAGTAAAGTGAAAATGCAAGTTGTTTAGAAAAAGCCAGGTTAAGATAACAAATTTATAGAAGCAAAACACTAGTTTGCAGAGTAAACAAAACGCCGTATCACATTTACTACCAGTAGAATGAGTTCCAGCTCTGGAAACACAATAAATTGCAGTGCTCGGATAACCATAACAGAGACAAAAGGAATTCTCAATACAAGTTGTTCTCTTTTTGTTTCCGGTTTTCAACAAAACAATTAAAACTAAGGCAACTAGAAAATGATCACTGATCAATTTTTGAACCATTCCAACGAGAACACGCCAACAAAGCCCGAAGCTTTACGTCCCAAAGTTCAAATTTAACAACGGAAATAATCGTTTAGTGCATCAAACCAGGAGCGAGAGAGAGAGAGAGAGAGAGAGAGAGAGAGAGAGAGAGAGAGCCAGTATTTGAATCAAAAGAATCCACACTGTCAACTGAATCTACATGATAAATCCAATTCGAAGAAAGTATAGGTATTGGGAATCACAAAGGCAGAAAAGCGGCACGAACAATAGTCGAAAAGGGAGAAATAGGAAAGAAAAATCGGAGACACTTATAAACATACCAGAGGGACTGGGGGCGCGTTGTTAAGTAGACGCCTGTCGCGGGCAGAGGAAGACAGGTTCCGCAGTTGGTTTGGGGCCATTTTCCATCCTTTTAATTTTCTTTCCTATTTTGTGAATTTTGACCACTTTCGATGATTTGCCACTACGGCTTGCGGTGGTCATTCCCCCACCTAACTTCTCTTTTTAGTAGTTATAATATTTATGGGGAGGAATAGGAATGACCGAATCCGACGCGAAGCCTGCCATTCGCTGGAATGCGAATCACTATTCTTTGATTTCATTCACCATAAGCTGGCTTTCCCTGGCATATTTAATTTCATTTTCGTGTTAATTAATGGGACAAGTAGCATTGACTCTCGCTGATCTCTAATATGATAATATTAGATTTGATGATTTTTAATATATACTCCTATATAATATAGTAACTAGGATTCGTGTTAACTCTTTTTGTTAAGAACTGTAATCATTAAAGTATGCTTGCGCCCTAAAATTCACAATTTTCATTTGGATGATGATTGCTCCTTGCTGCTTGCGGGAAAATGAGGAGGATTGAATTGGCTTGTAGGTGGTGCAAGCGGCAGGAACATGGTGAACGAGTTGACAAGTTTTACCAGTTGGACGAGACAGTTGAACTGATTGACGCAACCTCGCCCACTGAGATTTTTGAAGTGCAAAATGTGGGACATTCCGAGAATTGAACTCGGGACCTCTCGCACCCTAAGCGAGAATCATACCGCCAGATTAAATGCCCTGCGTGCTGGCCTTGCTAGCTCTCTCTTACTGCACCCTTCTTCAATCATCAATCAAATAACTAAATACAATGGATGTATATGCATGTAAATTAATTTAAAAAAATAAATCGCGATAGGCATTTTAAAATATAAAATTATGCAACTCAACCTTCACGTCACACGTTTGAAATTCATCACTTAAAATACTAATAGAATCATCTTTCTGAATATTATTATTGCTTAATCTGATCTCACTTAATACATAGAATTCTTTATATAGACGAATACATTTTAACTAATCATAGCCACGTAATCACTTGGTTATAACATTAATGCAACTCATTCAACAACTCGTATTATTGGGCCTAACATGACTAGCCCCTGTCTAAATATAATAAGCCTCTTAATTGAATTGAAATTCACATCACGCCGTGACACATGCCTTGTGCAATAAAGGACAGGTATATGGTATCAATTGGTGGGGTAGGGGAAATTGTTTCATGGCGCAAGAGATTTTAAATGTTGCAGGTAATGCTTGAGCATCAACTGTGGGCATAGTTTAGCGGTACCTATGCCAGTTTTATTAAATATTTCTATATATTTCTTTAATAAGTACAAGATAAAAATAAAAAGTTTAAATTTAGATTGTCTACATCTTATCAAAAGCAATGAGTACAGCAATGTTTGTCCTCTGATAAGTATAAAAAACAGTCCAAATTTAATAAGATTATTTTTCATAATTTTTATATATTTTTATTTTGACAGATAAAATATAAAAGCATTTAAAAACAATTGAAAATCAAAGGTAAAAATCATTTAAAAGAACTGAATGACCAAAATCGCCCTATAAAAGCTACGAGCACGTGATGGACACCGAATATGATCCAGGATGGATTGCCTTGTGGTGTATTTGAATTTATGTCTCCAATAAAGAACCTGAAAAATGAATTATAAATGTTAATCCAAATAATTATAAATGAGAATTTTAATTCTAAATTAAGAGTTATGTTTTGAATTTAAATATTCCAACTGCAATTAAAACTCTTGAATCTGCAATCATTTTTAAGTTATTTTTCAAAAAATTCTGAGTAAGGACCCAATTGCCATTGATTTTTCCTTAAACCGATAACACCACATTTAAATATTATATATAACTTACTTCATCATTGTCTTCTCTCTGTTCATTGCCTAAGCTCCTGTCTGATTACTAGAAAAAAATAGAATAAAATTAATTAAAAACATAAAGATAAAAATAAGATTATTAAAAGGGATAAATGATCACATTCATAAGGGGGAAGGATATGTTAGTTCATAGGGTTGATAATCATAATTTATAAAATTTTTGAAAGGCGTGATAATTCTTACATTTATAGTATATATTAATTAGTTTTATCATATTTATTGTGAAAGAAATGGTGATTTAGTTCATTTTTATCTTATTTTTTTAAATTTGTTCCTTTCTAATAACCAAACGAGACCTAAAGTTATTCAGAATTAAATAGTTCGTTGATCGACTTCAAGAGGCCGCGTGTAATGTTTACCTTGACATTACCAAAACAACACTCATACACGCCGTTGTGATGATCAGGATTAAATAAAATTTCAAAAAAAAAGTTATCATAACCCAAGGGTTTAAAAGAAAACCCTTTGTTAAAATATTATTTGAACTCAAATCATAGTTCAAAATTAAGTAAATGTGGTAACAGAAGCATAGAAACCAAAACAGCAATCGAAACAAGCCAAAGCAAATATGAAAATTCTCTAGATTATGACCCGTCTACTGCGGTGCAAGCCAAGAATGGCATAGAGGGATGAATCCCTCGGAAGGCACCTGCACCTCAGCACAACCATCATGTGCCGCGGTGCGCACCTAATGTTATGACAGCATAAGCACTCCGAACTTTCAAAGTGCACCGTTTCGCCATTCAACACCCAATTTGGGTGATTGAAGTATCCACACGAAGTTTTTCGAGCCCTTTAACTAATGGTTGGGAAGCATATGATAGATGAAGGAGGGAAGATGGAGGTAGAGACGGTGGAGGAGGAGTCCTTGGGATCAAAAAGATGATCCAACTTCATGGGGGAAGAACAACTGGGTGGTTGCTTCTTCTTACTGTCCATGTCATATAGTGGCCTTTGATTTAAAGAGCTTTATTCTTTGTCAAGCAAAGGACAAGAGTAGTCGAAGGTGCTTGTCGGATTGGAAGGAAGGAAAGAGATGATTGATTGGCCAGGGGAAGGGTGGGCTTTTGCGCGCGTGGCAATTGCATGAGGGTGACTCTTGCTTATTCCTCTTGTCCTGTTTATAGAGCAGAAAAAAAAATAATCTTATTTACAAGTCATGTCATTAAATTTTTATTATAAATTTTTTTTTTATCCTTTATTGAATATTGAAAAAAAAATATTTATTGAAATATGTATATTTAATAAAAGTAAAGTTAAAAACTTATTAAATTTTTAAGATAGAGTTAATGAGTTTTAAGATTTTTCTTGATACTGATACAATATATTAGAAATGATTTATAAATAAGATTAAAAAAATATATAATAATGTAATAAGGGCCGTTTACTCGGTGCCACGTACAGGGAATTAAAGCGCTGCCATGGATACTCATATATATTGCATCGATTTCATTATTATTATATTTTGAATTGATATGGGAGAACAATTATCTAGGGAGAATTATACTCCTGAGAGGCACAATTGTTTGTGTGAAGGCACCAATTAATTTTAAAATATCATGAATGGGTCAATTAATTAAGGACTTAATTGTAATCAAGTTTGATTAGTCAATTACTCAAGTTAAATTCTCTTCACTTATTTAAAAAAAAAAATCCCTCCATCATTGCCGCCACCGACTTGAGCCTCACCGGTTATCGGTTAAATCTTTCAAAAGTCAGTGTGCCATGAACTCCTGGGATGGCTCAAATCCTCGTGGTCACCTTGAAGGGTTTAACTGGCTATCATCCATCAACACTGATGACCACCCACCACTAGCGAGGGGCTGGCGACAACAGGTTAATTGGATTTTTTTTTTAATAAATGAAGGCCATGTCTAATCGCTTGATGCAATTATATATCTTGGATGTCCTTGAATGATGTGGTTAACTCCCGACAATTGATCTCAAGGATAACACGTTCATTAATCAAATGATGGGGGATATACCAAGATTCAAAATATGTATGGATTTTAATTGGAGCGTTTAATTTGACAAGATTTGCTGGTTCAAGAAAGAAAAAAATGCGTGACTTGTATGGTATGATTGTTATCGGGTGAGTGCACGGTTTAATTAGTAATGTTGATTCGCTGCCACAATGGAGGAGAGAACCAATGATGCAGGAGATGGAATTATATGGTGGATATAAGATATACTTAAAGAACACTTTAGATGACTAAGGACAAGGACATTCCTGCAGAATCTTACTTCACGTGATATTTTCTTCACCGTAAGCAAGTATAAAACACCGCTTCAATTTCCAACAGACACTCTGACTCGTGCAAAATTCAACATGCCTTCAACTCTCAGGAAGATTCTCTTTAATTTATTACAATAGACCGACCGGGGGATTTTCTTAATGGAAGACAGTGGAAAAACGAAGCGAAGGTATTTTTGAAATAGAGAAATTGAAGAATGGAATGAAGGCACGGAACAAGAAAAAGAGTGAGAGTTTGGGAATTGAAAGGGAATAATGAAGTGATAGTGAAGAGGCCGGAAGTTTCGGGGAAAGGGAGAGCATAGGCGCGTGCGGATGGGAGCGTGGGCTTCTAAATGTCAAGTGGAAGGAAGAATACAGGCGAATGGATTTCACATGTCCACTTGGCTCCGGTCCCTACCCCACTCTTGCAGAGACGTCATTTGCTACTTCCTTGTAGCGTTTCTCATCATAATGTTAACAATCGCTCAATCTACTTGTCATCATCTCTTTATTTATCTATTTTCTTTATTCTTTTTAAAAGTAAGAAACGAAGAATAATTACTCACTCTTGACTTCTGCATTTTACACGAATTATAGTTAATCATGCTTCTTACACGCATATCATTCAACTGGAGTACCGTGCACAACAATTTAAGTTATATTATAATGAGTCCGTTCCAAATTGTAAAATAATTTGATGAGACTAAATTTTTATTGATGATATTTTTTTAATATTTTCATTATTTTCTCTCACTTCAATATTTTTCATAAACAATATAATATTAAATGAAGAGTATTTTTAAAAGTTTATATTTTTATTTTAAAA